AACCTTTTTAAAATGAAATTTCTACTCATTTTTCGTTCTCCTGACCAATGCATTGCACGGAGAGATGGAGAAGTTCTCGTATCTCAAGTTTGTGTTTACTGGTGATATTAAGTGCCAGGAAGAAATCATCCTGGGAACTGAAGTGAGCAGCAGCACGCTGGGAGAATTAACTTTGACTGAATCAGAATTTAGTGTAAGGACTGCAATCTGTATGATTAAATCTGTCTGCATTTCGATGGTCATCTACCGTCATGAGTTCTCATCCATAGCTTCACAGTCTTCCATTTTGTTTGAAAGAGGCTTAAACTGGCTTTCTGAGACGAATCATGCTTTTCGACAGAGTCCGAATTACTGATATCTTAAATTGATAAGTGACGACTACGATTGCTTTGTGACGTCGTTTGAACGCTTTCGGAAATGAAGGAGAAACAACTATTATTTGTCCAATTGACTAGCTGTAGACACCGACGACAGACAAGAATATCCTGAGACAAGTGTATCAGAAGGCTCTGATCTAACCCTGGTTATTTTCTGCTGAAGTTCAAACACTGGCACAAGATCAGGAACGCTGCGTTTGTCAAAGGTTGTTGCTAAGATACCCCCTGATTTAGACAATGAGCAGTAATAGGGAACAACCGGAATCCAATTAAACCTGCTATGTTGCGCGTAATTATTGTGGAGAAACCCTAAGATTGTAATTAAGCAATTTGTTTGTGGCTTTAATGAACCTCTTGTATCGTTTCAATAAAATCAACCATGAAATCTATTTATCATAAGTTAATCCAGTTATGTGCGTTGTAATAGAACAGTGAGCTGTGTCGGATCGAAGGGAGATTTGTAATACTGGTGTTACGCTGGCAAACGAATTAAACATGAAGGTTGTAGAAACTCCGTTGTTAATAAATTTCTTACTTTCCTTCTTTCTGCAGCTTCTACGTATTTGTTATTGCCTCTTTACCACATATGATTTAAGTGGTACAAATCAAATGTTAGATGATAGCATTTTGCAGCATCTTGTAAATCTTAAAGCTACCTGTAGCTAGGCCCAATTTGAACGTTTGCTCTAAATTTGTACTTTGACAGGGTATACTGCGATGGTTAAGTTATTTGTGGGCAATTTGGGTCCGAAAGTAGGGGCCGATGAGCTTCGAGCTCTGTTCGAGCAGTACGGGCCCGTGAGTGAATGTGATGTGATTCGGAACTATGGTTTTGTGGTAAGTTGCAATTCGTCGTATTTTATGTACTCGTTTACACTCACGTATGTTTTAAGCACATGGACGATGAGCAATGCGCTTCGAAGGCTTTCGAAGCCCTCAACAACTACTACATGCATGGACGAGCGCTTCACGTTGAGTTTTCGACCAGCAAGCTCCGGAAAGCCCCCGGAATGGATGAGCTATGCTTCAGATGCGGTGCTGCCGATCACAAGTAACTTCAAGAGCTGATTTTGTGGAACAGCTACGTTCCTCTTTAAGTTCTTTAAGCAAAAATGTTCTCTCTGTTTAATGCTACGTTTGGTTAACTCGTTGACGCCTTTTCAAGTGTTAGTTAATTTCTAGGAATCCCTTTACAGCAAAAATTAAGGGTAATCAGTAAAAACAGCTATGGGATGTTCTGTCCTTTCGATTTTCTAACATACTGCTATTCTTATTTTCCCGGTAGCCGTTAAAGCTTGCAGCGGTTCGCAGTCGTTGATTATGGAGGCTGTGAAAACTGGTAAATGCGGGGTAATGATTTATTTTATTTCCGGAAATAACGATTTGAATAAAGAATCATTTGATATGCAATGTTTGTATGGATTTCCGTCAATATATGAGAAAAAGTTCGATTCGTACATCATTTTCTCTCTGCTGATTAGTAAATCATGCTAAACTATATCTTTTAGGATCAGTATTTGTCACCCGCGCACATCTTATTATTTCCCTACCTCCGTCACAAAAATGCTTCATCACCAATAACAGAAACAAACTTTAATGACTGCAAAAGATCATGAAAAAGGTCTACCGAAATAAATACTCTTACGCTCTCAGTGTCTCATGATTTTTGATTTGTTTTTTCTTATGTTCTGGCTCCTTCAGAGCCCTGAAGATAAGCGGTACAATTGACCGACAATTTCGCATCCAGCAGAAATGGCTCAAAATTGAATTCGAGTTTCTGGGTGCTTTAGGGAGTTGCCTGTGCAAAGGATGGGGAAAATCGACCAGCAGCATTTTCCCTAGACAGCGGACCGTTCTTCTGTCAGTTGGTTGTCTTTTGAGAGTATTCCTTACTAAGCAGGTTTACATGTTGAAGTTTGTCATTTCTTGCCCTCACCCATTTACTGAAGTAAATACTTTTTGCAGGAATGCACATATGCAACTGCTGGAGACGCAGTATCATCGAAGTTATTCACGATAACCCTAGATGAGATTCTCAACATTCACATTTGGAAATATAAGGAATTACGTAAGTTTCTTTGTGGGACTAAAAACGAACCTCAGGTCATTTACCTATGTTTGAAAAATGCCTGACCCCATGATTTGTTGAAATCAATGATCTTACGCTTAAAAGCTGCAAAATTAACTCCATTTGAAACTAATAATCGCTGCAGCGGAGGACTGACTCACAGCAAAATCAACAGAAGGACAAAAATGTTAAGGAACGCTTATGGAAGACCGTGAATGTTCTTACCTGGAAAACTACCCTTGTGATTGAAGCGAAGAATTTTCGATCAGTTCGTGCTCCCATTGCGAACCTACGGAAGCGAAACGTAAACCCTAAACCGGGAAGCTCTTCATAGACTGCAAACTACGCGGCACATCGTGAAAAGTTTGTGCTGCGAATAACAACAAAAGATAGGAAGACGAATGCACGCTTAGGGTATAAACAAGAGTCTGCGATGTCATTGACTGAATGAAGAAGTGAAATAGGTAATGGCCTAGATACTTTGCAAGAAGAATAGATTGTTGCTGAATCAGAAATACGGTAGGCGGGGTTTCAAGACAGAGTAAACGGCCCTTAAGAAGACCTCCAAATCGATGGCAGGATAAGCTAAAACAGGTCTGGATCAAGGTTGATGACAATCAGTGAGAACAGAAGTTTGTGGAAAATTCTTGCAAAGGCTTTCATTAAGTAGTCGAACGGAAACAGACTGATAATAACATGCATTCGTGTTATTCCAGCCTCCTGTTCATAGAGTCATCAACAGGACCTCAATGAATTGGTTTATATAGGATGCCATCTCTGAACATATTTGAACCCTTAGCCCACTCTTAGGGGTTGTATGATAGCCCTGACGAGTACCGTAAATTTTTAGGAGAATTCATTTTTACGTACTGTGTTACGGCATGGAATGCTTTTCATTATCAATATGCTTTGGCATGTTGAGCTAAATTTTTGTAGAGCTCCGTTTCAAACACCTATCTTCCTTTCGCTACTTTCGATGCCTTTTACATCTGATGACTGAAATGCTTATTCTTTCCAAAGTGATTCAGATTCGAATTATGAAATTTTTTAAGCTCAACATCAGAATCGTTATCAGAGGTGGTGCTTACTCTGTTTTATATTGTTCCTTTTTATGAAGCACTGACCAATTTCCCGCCATCGTCCCTAGTGATATCTTCACAGTTGCAGCAGAAGGCCACTTAGGAACTGATGCTATTTCAAGTGCTTTCAGTTAAAGATTGATCATCCTACGACCTCTGACTCCGAATACGTGGGAAATGTCCGTGAAAGTCGTTCAAATGTTGTGTTGGTCACAGCACTCAGTGCGCTTAGTTGTTCAGCTACTATTATTGTCGTGTTACCGTAAACAAGAAATTACAACTTATTAATACACAACCCAATTTGGCCAGTTGGATGATTAGAAATTACCCACGTTTTGGCTAAAGTGTTTCTTTGAGGCTATAAATCAGTGTTTTTTTTCAGGTAGAGAAGTTGCTTGCTTCTTTAGCTTTCCATTGGCCTTAAAAAGAAGGTCCGTGAGACACTCACTGAAACATCGGGACTTTCAGATCATCCATTTGACCAAATTGTACACGCTGATTTCAGTATGACGATGAAGCAGAAACGAAATATTCTGTGTGATCGTCTGAAAATTGCCGTTTTCACGCAATGCACTTTGACTGGGTCGACTGAGCGTTATCATAGCAATTGTTGCTTTCCTCACATAACCATATCTTCCATCTTCTTGATCCAACAAAATACTGTTGGTGTTCTATGTACTTGATTACGTATGTACGTTCCTCTATGGCATATCTTGTATTATGTATGTATTGTGTTGTATTGTATTGATTACGCATGTACGTTCCTCTATGACATATTAATCTTGCATATGGGCATATCATTATTCTCAGAAGGATATGAGCCTCAGAAAAAAATTTAGAAGAATTGGCTGAGTCTTCAACGAATTAGAGACCCTGTTTGTTGTTTCCTTTTATTCCTTCAGTCTTCCGCATTATGGGATTCTGCCACTGGTCGCGATCAACGCTTTTATCTTTTGCATAGAGTTAGACTAAATCAAAGTCTAACCAAATCTTTAACCGTTGTTCATCATCATAATCAACGTGATCATCCTTCTTCCTGTCATCGCATCATTATTGTCACGTTAATAGTACGTGGTTGATACTATTGCATTTGTGCCAATAAATTGGTTTCTGATGATTCCGTAAAGAACGGATTTGTAGTATCTCCTCCGGCGAACTGTTTCATCCATGTGTCTCGTTAACTGTCTATGGGTCGGCTTCGGAAAAGTTAAAGTGGAAGTCTACTGCTCCGGCTGCGATGTGATTATTGGCGGTAATGCTGGTAACCCTTACCCTAAATCTTGATCTTTGTTGTGGTTTGTTTGATACTGAGACTTTTCCAATGTTCGGGCAATGGTCGGTAGTGGTCGTTAAACCACCAGTTTCGATGGAACCAAAGTAGTGATAAGCTGACGCAAGCCAGGAGCAAAACTGAACACTTTCAAGCTCAATTAACATCGTAGGCACATTAAAATGTATTGCTCAGAGCTCAGCGTTAAAACTGTTTACAAGTGGCTCCTTCTGTACTGGACGTGCTTACAAGCTACAGGTCCAATAATTGAGCGCCAATACTGATGAAACTACTGGAACAGTCGTCCTAGTGCAGCAGTCGTATTTGCACTAAACGCATATTTGAGGCTCGTATCAGTGTAAGTGATAACACCAATGTTATTCTCACGTGTCTTGCCCCCTTCCCACTGCACTTGAAATCTCTGACTTCAGCATCATCTTGCAGCCCTAAATATCATGCATCGAATTTTTGGTGGAATCCCTCGTCTTTCGCGCTTCTGATTCATGTAAATGATATAAGATCTGCATGGAAATGAGAAAGGTCCCTCTCTACGTTGGAAACAAGCAGTATACCATGCGTATGTGACCATCCGAAGATGTAGGTTACTTTTGCGCGATGATATCGAAACAGAGATCAGCTCAGCTACCTTAGCCTTAAGAATAAGCGATGAAATTTCGAAAGTCCTTTACGAGATGACACCCCCTATCGAAGTTCTTATATGCAAATTCTTCAACATTTTGGATCATGCTGATGCGTCCTCACTGGAGACGTTTTACGAAAGAGACTGTTACACAGTATACGTTGGTAAAGCCAGGTACAGAACTTCAAGATGGAGATTTTAATCTCGATACTGCAGGCCGCTTCATAAATTTGTTCCAATACTAACTTAGTTCCATGCCGGCGTTTTTATTAATGCATTGGTTCAGCAGAATTATCGAAGCTTCCTTTATCTTCCGATTTAAAAAGTTTTCTCTCTGTGTATTATTTTCTTCTGGTGCGATTGTTGCTGTTGTACTGTATGTTCAGCCCTGGTTGCTTTCTCACTACTCTTCGCCACTAGCGAATCTTTCGTTTGTCTTCCATCTTTCCCATTCATTGCTTGTCCGTTCTGACGTAAATCGGTGTTACATCATCTTGTCAAGATACTGAGGTGTTTTTTCTTCTTTCCATGTGTAGTATTAACAGTTTTCGCTGTGCCGCTGAAACTGCACTCACGATATACGATATGGATTCAGCCCTGTTGTTTCGATTTTGGTTTGTTTATGTGATTTTGAAATGCATCAGCTGGTTCAGCTTTGAGTCAAAATCTGGGTCAAAATTCCAGTCATATTCCATGGTTTCGGACGATCCTCGGCATGTTCTTGCTTAGAGGTTTCACCTATGGAACAGCAATGCTGGTCTTGAAGAAAAAATTAAAAATGAGAATTTCTCTGGGTTTTCTCATGGATATATAAGGGAAATCAATCTTTCAGTGGTTTTTTACTACCGTTTCATTGTTTAAAGAAGAACGAACTTCCGTTTCTATCTTTCCTTTTTCAAATTTACTGTAGTGATTTCATAAAATTGTAACTTTATGATAGACCGGTTATGTAAATCTTATATTAGAAAAGAAGTGA